GAGTGAGGAGCAGAACAGGCAGATCGACGAAGTACACTGCTGAGGGGAGCAGCGGGCGGGTCAGGAGAGGTCTGCCACACCATGTGGATCTCCTCCAGGGCAGGCTGGGTTCGAACTTATGCTCGAACTCATGCGGAAGTGGCTTAAGCTTCTTAGTGCAGTGCTTTATCATGATAAATTTATTATTTTATCATGGCAATTGTGACTTTTCTATATGCTAGAGAGATAAAATCTCCCATGTCTTTGTGGTTGGATTCTGGAGAATTGTTCTCTCAAATCCTTTGAGGTTTCAGATTTTTATTTGTTGGTTGCTTGATTTGTTTTCCCATTTTGCTGCTTTAAATGTCCTTATTTTTGTTTCAGCTATCTATAAATAACAGAGATTTGAATTACTAGTTTTCCAGCAGGTGGCACTGTGGTTTTATCTGATTTTAGATATTTGACCTTTTTTGCTTTCTGTAGTTTCAGACACCTGAACTTGCTGCAGCTGAGGAATCTAGCAGTTGTGAATGTGTGCGGGTGTGGGGAGCTTGTTCTTGTGCTACTGATGTTGTTTTTGGAGTTAGTGTGGGGTCCTTGGATTCACTCTGGGAAAGTTTTCACCAGAGCTCCCCTGCATGCTGCATGCTGCGAGTTCCCAGGTGAGTTTCTCCATAAGACAGAGACTTGGTTATATTTAAAGAGTAGGTTGATGAGGGAAATGGACAGGAGTATTGGACACTTGAATAGGCACAAGTGGGCAGGGAGAGCTTCCCAGGAATTGACTGGTTTGTAGAGAGAGGTCTGCATGGTTGCAGGCAGGTGGCCTTAGGAGAGCAGCCTCCACTGTGGGAGTTCAGTACAGAGAGGTCCCGGCATGGTACAGTTCACAGGCAGGCAGGAGGCTGCCGCCCTGCAGAGAGAGTGGGTGGAAAGAAGCACCTGCATAGTCACAGGTGTGCAGAAAACTGCTGCCCCATGCTGGTGCAAAGACTGTACTCATGGAGACATCTTACACCTTGAGAGCCTAGGTTTGTTGATTTTGAATGGAATCTGAAAGGAACAGGAGATCCTACTGTGGGCTCAATCTCCATATCTTTATCTTTCATTTTTTGGGTCTATACTCTAGACACTGCCCACAGTTGTTGGATACCTGCTTGGATTTTCTGCTCTGTAATCCAGGCATTGTCTAAAATCTTGATTTCTATGGCTGTGTCAATGGCTATGCTAATCCCTCCTATCCAACTCCCAGTGTGAGTCAGTCTTGTGGTGCTTCCTTACTGTTCTATCCTCCTTCGGTACCAACAATATACTTCCTTTGGGGGGTAGAGAGCTGAGATTTTGTAATTTGCAAACTGTCTGTGGTCTTCACAAGGTCAGTAGCAGTCAGATGGGATGGAAGAGAAGGTCCTCAGTCCAGCACACTGTCCTGTTTTCTTCTCTGGAGTCTTGGCTTGCAGGGAGCACCCAAGGCCTCTGCATGTTTTTCTCCTCACTCATGGGCATGTACTTCTGCAGTGTTTAGCTCTCCCCAGGGAGCTGCTGTTTTTAAGGTAGCCTCCCTTCCCCAACCACAGACTACAGGTTTGTTTTTTTTTTCTACCCACCTCTATTTCAGTGAAACCTGGGTCTCCTCTTTGTACTTTCTGGTACAAGCTGTGCTGATCTATAGTGTCCACGAGGTGTTCTAGTTTCTTCCCAAATCAAAGATTCACTGGGTTAATGCCCACCTGATTAACTCATGATCTTCTCAGGAATGAAGCAAGGAACCTCCTCTGGTGCCATGTGATCATTTACTATTTACATGACTATTTTGATTATTTATTATTTATATGAGTAGGTAATCCCTACTGATGTCCCCAACCTTTAAAGGTAGGCTAAAAATGGCAGCTAGATGACCAGGAGCCTGAGAGAAATTTCTTCCAGGCCAGAGGTACTAACAGGTGTGATCTTGGTGTCCACCTTCTGTGTTACTGGCACCAGACAGCAGTTTTGTTTTTGTTTTTGAAGAAATAGAATATCTGTGATTATATATTGGTGTCTGGAAGATGTTGTCTTAATTCAACATAAAAATTTATAGAGCACTTACTACCATATGCCATGTACAGTGATCTGTAGCGAGGCTGAAAGAAATGAATTTCGTTTTCACTTAACCAATTAATCTTACTTGTGGCTTTGTGTACTTGGTTTCTTTAGATTTATTTCTTTGTATAATTAGTTTTTAGTATTTTCACAGAGTTGTGTAGTCATTACCATAGTCAATTTAGGATGTTTTCATCATCCCCCAAAGAAAGTCTGCACCCATTAGCTGCCACTGTCCACTTCATATCCTCCCAGTCCGTAACAACCACTTTTTGTCTCTATGTTTCACTATTCTGGACACTTCATATAAATGGAATAATATAATCTGTGGTCTTTTGTGATTAGCTTCTTTAAGTAAAGGTTATGTTTTCAAGACTCCTCAATGTTTTAGCATGTATCAAAGTTTGTTTTTCTTTTTATGACCAAATGAAACTGTTGTATGGATGTACCATATTTTATTCATCCATTCATCATTTGGATTGTTCACTTGGGTTGTTCTCAGCTTTTGTCTATTGGAAATAATATTCTATGAACACTCATGTACATGTTTTTGGATGTATATATGTTTTCATTTTTTAAAATCTATATATCTAGGAGTCAAATTACTGGGTCTTATGGTAACTATGTTTAACAATTTGATGTAGTGTCGGACAATTTGATGTAGTTTTCAAAGAGGCAATAGCATTTTACATTCCTACTGACTATTTATGAGGTTTCCATTTTTTTCCATAACTTTGTCAACAGTTGATATTACCTTTCTTTCTGATTATAGCCATCATAGTAAGTTTGAACTAATATCTCATTGTGGTTTTGATTTGCACTTTTTAAAAAAAAAAGATTTATTTATTTGTACATACAGAACTGGGGTACAGGCCAGAGACTCAGGGGTGGCAAGAGGCTTCACCAGAGACAGAGTAGGGAGCAGAACAGGCAGACTGATGAAGTATACTGCTGAGGGGAGCAGCGGGCGGGTCAGGAGAGATCTGCCACGCCATGTGGTCACCTCCGGGACAGGCGGGAATCGAACTCATGCAGAAGTGGCTTTAGCTTCTCTGTGCAGTGCTTTAACCCACTGTGCCACCAGGGAGGGCCCTGATTTGCACTTTTTTAATGACTAATGACATTGAGTGTTTTCCTGTGTAGATGACCATCTGTATCAGCAATTTTATAGCTTTCTAGCCATTCTTTTCTAGTCACATCTCCCTCTGATCACAGCCTGGAAAATAGCTCTACTTTTAGGGCTTCTTGTCATTGCATTTTGCTTACCTGGATAATCCAGGATGATCTCCCTATCTCAAAGTACATGACCTTTATCATATTTGTAAAGTTTCTTTTGTCAAGTAAGGAAATAGGTTTACAGGCTCTGGGTATTAGGTTGCTGCCAGCTTTGGGGACCATTTTCTGTCTATCACACCATTTTTTTTAAGATTTATTTATTTATTCGTACAGAACTTGGGTACAGGCCAGAGACGTGGAGGGTGAGAGGATTCACCAGAGACAGAGTGGGGTACAGAACAGGCAGATCTACGAAGTACACTGCTGAGGGGAGCAGCGGGCGGGTCAGGAGAGGTCTGCCGCGCCATGTGGTCACCTCCGGGGTAGGCGGGAATCGAACTCATGCGGAAGTGGCTTTAGATTCTCAGTGCTGTGCTTTAACCCGCTGCACCACCAGGGAGGACCAATATCACACCATTTTAACAATCATCCACGGATGTGACATCCTTCTATTTGTTTAGAATATCTTTAATTTCTTCAATAATGAAACTATGCTCTCAAAAGTCAATCCTTGGGAGATAGTTTGGGAACTGCTTGTTTATATGGGCTACCTTTATTTGTGGGCAAAATCTTAAAATTTGTGCTTTGCATGCTGAGCAGTGGCAGTAATGCATGGTTTTCTTGTTTATATCTTCATACATGGATATACATACTCAGTCCTACAAGTGAGCCAAGGCAAGGCAATCAGGGGAAGGCTGATGGGGCCCCGTATAGAGCCTCTGCCCTGAGTGAGGAGATGGGAACCTCTCAGCTTTTGGCTATACTCACCAGGAATTTCAACCCTTTAACTCTGTGTTGGAGGTAATAAGAAATGATTGCTACTGCCCCTCTCAATAGAGATACTATATCCCTTGGTTGGGAGCTCAGAAAAAAAGGGAATGCAGCCCTCCTGGTCACTCCTGCCTTGGAGCATAGTTTCTATCAGGAGAATAGGGGGGTGGAGGGAAGGAAGGCAGTGGCTGTTGTTAATATGCCATAAACTCTCACTACTATTATTATGTTTTAGTAGATTTTCTTGAAATAATTTCTCCTTCATTTGCTTTCTGTTTTAAGGACAATTTCCAGATATTTCAAAAAACAATTCAAATACTTTTTACTAGTTATGGTTATTTCACTAGGGAATGGGGCTCCAGGACTTATGTCTCAATTCTGGATGTGAATTTCCCTCTTATTTTTCCAGGAAAGTAGAATTTCTTTGTTATGATGGTGTGGGATGGTGCCTATAGTAAGTAGTATGATGAACTATTTTTTAAATCAGGCTTTTACTATGTGTGATACTAGGTTTCAAGGTAACTGATTTCCCTTGCTTTGTTTGTATTTCTCCATGTAATTGAACCATTCACTTGTAATTGTGTTTTTAATTTTTTTTAAAGATTTATTTATTTGTACATACAGAACTGGGGTACAGGCCAGAGGCTCAGGGGCAGTGAGAGGCTTCACCAGAGACAGAGTGGGGAGCAGAACAGGCAGATCGAAGTGCACTGCTGAGGGGAGCAGCTGGCGGGTCAGGAGAGGTCTGCCACTCCATGTGGTCGCCTCGGGGCAGGCAGGGATCAAACTCATGCGGAAGTGGCTTTAGCTTCTCAGCCCGCTGCGCCACCAGGGAGGGCCTTTAATTTTTAAAAATCATTTTAATGACATATTTCTGTTATTTTGATTTCTAGGTTTGATTCAAGCATCTTATATTGCCACTACTAATTCAAGCACTATGTTGTTTACCTCGATGTCAAATGCTTCTGCCTCCACTGTTGCTACTGGGTTCTCGGGTAAGTTACTAGTTGTAAAGAAAATATTAATTCACATCAGGCTTCTTAACTCAAATTGATGATATAATGTATGGAACTCCTACATCTCAAAATTGTCATTGTGCTTTATCCCATCTATAATACCTTATATCAATAGTAACTTTGCTAACAAATCTAGTTGTCACAGTTTTATCTGTGAATTTTAAAGTAACGTGATTATTAAAGCTTAAAGTTATATTTTTAAGAGTACATTTCATATTAACATTGCGATGTTCTCAAACAACTTGCACCTAACAGGCATAGGAAGAGTGGGAGTTTTGCCAAATACGTTTGAAGGGAAGACGTCTTACTATCTATCTGATAAACATAAGGCATGACATAATATTTCCCATTTAAATATGTGGGAGCCTTGTTGCATTGCATTCTTCTATATAGACCAGGCTTTTGGGGCTTACATTTTATCCATTAAACATGACACAGGACTCACTCTACTTTGGAGTTTTAATTGACACTGTGTGGTGTCTTGTGACCTCTGTGCTTAAAAAGAAATATCTGGGTGCTTTGAGAGGAGAAGTGAGATATTAATTATCTCATAACCCCAGCTTCTTTTGAGAATATTAAATTCTGTGTTTGTCTCTCAGGTAGTGCTTTTTCACAGGGCATGTAAACCTACTGTACTTCTGAGGCATCGTCATAGTGCCATGTTCATTATTAGACTTTGTGTATTGTAATCCTTACTGTAATATGGTCCTCCCAAAGCCTTACTGCAGCAAGGTGATCACCATGCTGGGAATAAAGTTTGCCGGGTATTGCTGATGCCTGGTGGTGTGTGAAGAACAATAGTGTACCATCGCTATCCTTTTGTGCAGTTGACTTGGGAAACGTTCAAATTGCTGGTCAGCACTTGAGCTATACTTTCAGCCCCGCAGACTTGTAATTTGGAGACAGGACTAAGATTCTAAAAAGGCCTCTGATATGCGTAAACAACATCCTTCTCAACTATCATAGAGTTTGTGAATATAACCATGACTAAGGTTGGGAGTTTAAATTATTGGATGGATTCCATTTTCAAGCAAACGCTTACCCTCTGACAGGAAGATATTTTTCCCTTCCTGTCGTTGATGCCTTTGCCTGTAAGAGGAGATGAATTCTTGACCATAGTGATTTCAAATTATCTTTAATGAGACATAACATATATCATGAAATTAAATGTAACAATTCAGTGATTTTTATTAACCTTACTGAATTTTTATTAACTTTATTGTGTAGCCATCACTATAATCCAGTTTTAGAACATTTCTGTCACCCCAACAAGATCTCATCCCCATACAAATACTAATCTATTTTCTATCTCCACAGACTCGTTTTCTGAACATTTCATATAAATGGATTGGCATGATTTTTTGAACATAACCAAAAGTTTCTAAAGGATTCTAGATAAATTCCTCTCTGTTTTTAATTAAAAGGGTAATAGGTCATATTATGTTGTTCTTGTAGTTGGTGCCCCCACAAGTTCAACTGGAATACTTAGTGGCATAAATTTTGGGTTTTTGATTAAAATTCCTTGGTATAGGTTGTGCAGCTCCTTGTGTAATTAATAAGGTTTTAAAATTACGAAGATGTGGATCTAGAGATTCCTCTTGGGGAAGAATTTTGAGTATTAATTCAGTTTCTTTCATGGGTATAGGCCTGACTAGGTTATGAACTTTTACTTTTCTACAAGTTTATGCAGGATATTTAGTTTTCAGCACAAAGGTTAATAAAGATACCTGACTTGCATTATCTCTTCGTGTTACAACAGCATTGACTTCAATCCACTATAGCTTTTTGTTCAAAATAACATTTTAAAATGCTTGTAGAGTTTTTTTTTCTGGAACATTCTAGGACTAGTGCAGTAAATTTCTCATTTCTCAGGTACAGCTACGTCCACAACCACCACTAGCACTGTCACTACCACCACCACTACCATCACCACCAGTGACTTTGCATTGAATCTAAAACCACCCATGCAAGCTGGGATTAATGACACTGATCCAGCCAATATGGCTTCTGTGCCTTTTACTTCGACCATTGAGTAAGTCTATTTATATGATTTTTGCGTGAATTTCATTTTACTTATGTACAAGGCATAATTTGCTCATACAGCCTTAGAATAGTGTTTGAAAGTTAGGTAAGTGACTCAGTCAAAGGTGCAATTCATGGAAGGATTTCTGTAATTTAGGAAGTTGAATAACTAATAGTATAATATCATGATTAAAAGCTAACATTGATTGTGTACTTACTATATGCTTAGCAATATGACAGTGCTTTATATCAGATTGCTTAATCCTCACAATAATCCTATGAAGGAAGTTAATTTTTTGATAACATTTGAAAATTTGTGGAACAAGGCCCTCCCTGGTGGCACAGCTATTTAAAGTGCAGCACTATGAAGCTATCCTCAGCCTGTATTCTTAAAATGTGTGCCATGTTCCTCTCTAGTTGCTCATTTTTAAATTGACTTTTTATTTTAAGGTAAATATAGGTTCACATGTACTTGTTAGAAATAAAGCAAAAAACCCTGTGTGTTCTTTACCTGGTTTCCCTCAGCAAAAGCATCTTGAAATACAGTAGTACAGTATTATATCCTGGATATTGATATTGACACAGTCAAGATAAGGAACAGCTTTATCCCATTCCCTCCCGAGTTGCTCTTTTTAGTCACACTCATTCAATGTCCATCAGTGGGTGAAGAGTTAAGCTGTGGTATATCCACAATACCATGGAAAGCCTCTCAGAAATAAAACAGAATAACTACTGAAGCACATGACAAATTTAGTTCAAGGATAAATGTGTGTGTGGTCATGTGATCATACTCATTTTTTTTGTAGTACGGTCGTGACTCCCATGATGACATATGGTCAGCTGCACGGTCTGTTAAACAAGTGGAACCTTGAGCTAGAGGATCAAGAGAAATACTTCCTTCACCATGCCACCCAGATCAATGCTTGGGACCATTTATTGATTGAGAATGGTGAAAAGGTAAGAAGATATGCTCATTAATCTACTTGCAGTATACAGGTATTTTCAGAGGAATGAAAGAAACTAGACCTGTGGTTTGTGGTTAATTTTCTATTCTGATATGGGTGCTCAACTTAAAATATTTTTCTCAGGTAATGCGCATCATCTTTCACATTTGTGTAAGAAAATTGATACTGCTCTAAAATTTACTGCAATAAATTCAGTTACTGACATTTTTGTACTCTTATTTTCCTTTATAGATTACTGTTTTAGATGAAGAGGTGGAAAAGGTGAAACAGGATCAGAAAAGGTAGAACTTTAGATTTCCTAGGTTGGAAGGTTAAAAATTTATTTCATTGTCCAGTTTCTTTCCTTGTTGTAGTTTATGAAATTTATTTTGTCACCCCAAATTACTTTTCATTCTTCTGTTGACTTGTTTTTTTTTTTTCAGACTGGAACAAGAATTGGATTTTATCCTGTCACAGCAGCAGGAACTAGAAGATCTTTTGAGCCCTTTAGAGGCTTCTCTGAAGGACCAGAATGGGTCTTTTTCTCTTCAGCATACAGATGGGGAACTTAAGAACACGTAAGTCACTGACTAAAGATCAAGGAATGTGTGAGAACTTAGTTACTAAAAAAAATAGGGGAAATTGATTGAAAGGCAGGGCATAAGTGGCAGGAAATGACAAGTTTTTGTTTATTTACTTTTATTGAGGTAACATTGATTTACAGTGCTGCATATGATTGACATTACATGTGTATGTTTTGCCACACCCATCACCAAAGCACTCAATAGTCCTCTACCATAGTCCATTATTTAGCATAAGTCAGAAGGAAAAGGACAAATTCTCATAGTTGCCATTTATCAGCTTAATTGACTTTTTCCTGTTTATCTTTTCATGATGCTTAAAAGTAATCATTCTAAATTTTCATAGTATTTTGCATAATGTTATTAATCTCAAGCTTACATATAAGCATTGTAAATTTTTTGTTTGTCAAGTTTGTTCTTAAATTAGAAATACAATTTTTATTATAATAGTTTATTTTTACAAGAAATACAAATTTTATGTATGTGGTATCATGGTATTGTGGAATATTCTGGTCTCCTATTTATATAGACTCTTTAAAGCTAATGTTCATGTAGTTGCTTCAGAAATAAATCATATGCTATTTTTTTAAAGATTTATTTATTTGTGCATACAGAACTGGGGTATAGGTCAGAGGTGCAGGGGTGATGAGAGGCTTCACCAGAGACAGTGTGGGGAGCAGAACAGGCAGATAGACGAAGTACACTGCTGAGAGGAGCAGTGGGGAGGGTCAGGAGAGGTCTGCCACGCCATGTGGTCACCTCCGGGGCAGGCGGGAATCGAACTCATGTGGAAGTGGCTTTAGCTTCTCAGTGCTGTGCTTTAACCCGCTGCGCCACTAGGGAGGGCCTCATATGCTATTTTAAAGGCACTTTGGGATACTAACTACAAAGCTTTCAAAGATTGAATGATTTTGTCAATGTCTTGGGCTGGATATGTTTTATTTGTGTGCTATTCAGTCTTTACCTTCAGTCGATACATTGCCAGTGTTTCTATAGTAACTTTATCTTTCCAGATTGAGATTTGAAATAAAGTGTTGTTAGGAGAACTTGTATGAATGTGTTATATCAACTAAATTGAGAGTAAATTGGGCTCATTTTGTCAATGAATTACTGAGTTAAGACAGCCTATTTTTAAGAGGTTTGACAAATTAACTTTTTGTAGGTGCTTTAAATATGGTATGACTAATCTATGTTGACTTTAATTCTGTTTCTGCTTTTGCATTTCAACCTTTGTGAACATTTCTTTTCTTGGCATTGCTTTTCATACATTCTATCATTTTACTGAAATATATAGTTTTTTTTTTGCAGAATACATCTTAAGGATAGTTTGAAGAAATAATTAAAATATTAGTTTCTTTCCTATTGCTTTTATGTAGTGAGATTTATATTATGATGAAATCTTTATTAGAATTTTTAACAGTCTAACCAACCAATTACCTATAAGTAGTTTGGGACAGAAAGGCAATAAACAGTTATCTATAAATCTAATTGAATCCATTAATCTTTATTGAATATCAAGGTTGAAAAAGCCTCTGGTGACTTTAATGCTCATAAACATATTCATTGACTAGGTTAATGTATGTGTGTGTGTATGTGTGTGAAAATACTGAGATTGAGCCAACTGATAAATTTGTTGTCAACTTAACAGATTTATCTGCCTTTGCTTATTATGAATCTCATTTCTTGAAGCATCTTTTGTTGGATGATGGAGTATATTTGTATAAGGTTTTACTTTGAAAATTTATGTACTTAAAATCATTGAAGATATCTCAGCACTTACTGAATATTACTAAAGAACAGATAACTTCATATATATATGTATATACACACATATATACATATATGACTTCATATATATGTATATACACACACATATATACATATATATACATATATATGTGTGTGTGTATGTATGTATATACACACACACACTCCTATGAGTTTATTTTGACACCTAGAAGAGTTCCTTTGCTTCAGAACTTCCTTGGAATATTATCCAGAGGGTACATAACTGACTATAAAAATGGCAATATGGCTGACAGCCTTCACCTGTGGAGTCTTTTAGACTATGGCAATGATAATGGCATAAATGCTGTGTCCATAAAATGTGCTATTAATCATTGAGAAAATAGGGGAACGGGGACAAAAGCAATTGGCTTCTTTGTATGTCGATAAGAATAAATAGTGAGAGAAATATTTCTTGTTTATCTCTTTATTTTAACTGCCTTTTTCAGTTACAAATCAGCAGAAAATATAGATGCTCAGCTGAAACAAATGACTCAAGATCTCAAGGACATTATTGAGCACCTGAATAGCTTTGGAAGATCAGCTGACGCTAGTGACCCGGTATGGTAACTGCTTTATCTACTTGAACAACCAAGATTTACTGTGAAGTTAACATTCTGTGGCTCTTTTATCTAGTCACTTCTGTCCTCTAGAATGTCCCTTACCTGCCTCTAAAGATAAGAAGCTCAAAGGTGTACTTGGTAGTGCAGGAAATATTTAGGGACCAAAAATGTTAAGTTTTTTTTGTCATATTCCCAGGAGGGTTTAAAAAAGAATTTTCATCCTTCATTTTTAGGGTTATCTCCCTATTCGTTATATAACTAATTGTTTTTGTTTTAATTTATCATTTTCGTTTACTCATTAGCTAATTCTTCACTTTTATGTAATTATATACTTATATAAATGTGAGTGTATATGTTTGAGTCTGTTAGGTATATCCAGACCTCAAAAGTTTAACAAGTCAACTGTTTGAGATTTAAAATGTTTTTCCATAGAAAATTTGTTAAATACGATTATTCCGTTTCCACCTGCTCCTATAGAGTCCTACCTACTTAACTCATAATGTAAATGAACAAATACAATCAAGGCTCCAATTAAAGGCTTGATATGCCTTGAATTAATTTGGTAGTACTGAAAGGTTGTTTTATTCCCTTTATCTTACCCTAGTTAAAAACTTTATTCCTTATACCTTCCTCTATTGTCATAGCAGGTAAATGGAGTTCTCATTTTCCCCAGACCCACTCCATGGCAGTAATGATAAAAGGACTTTACCATTGTGGACGTTCCCATTGTACTTTCTGTCAGTTGATTGTAATTAAGAATAGGGCCAGGGTCTGGGTAGGTGAGGGTAAATGACATATATTTATATAAGTGATGATTATTTTTTTAGTAAGCACTCTGTCCAATTATATACAGGCAGTTTTTTACATATTGCTAGCTTTTTTAATTATAAAGAGACAATATGGTATATTTGAGGAAACACTAGAATTTTAAGTTGCTTAATCTCTCTGGATCTTGGCTTCTTCCTTTGCAATATGTCAAGGGTAGACTCAATAATCTTAAAGTTCCTTTCCGCTATAAAATTTATGCTGTTCTCTACTTTGGGTGAATCTAAAGTTGAACAAAGACAAATATAAATTACTCTAGGATTATCCATGGTGCCATTTCCCTATGTTCACACAGATGATCAAGAGTTGACTCAATTTAGATTTTCTTTTTAATGAAACATTAGATCACTGCTCTGATTTCCAAAATTCATCATTATTTGACTGTAATAGAATTTTGATGCATAGATGAATATGTGCAGATTTAGCTATGAAGCAGAGCTGATGTCTAGTCTCTCATTGTTGAATGAATGCAAGAGAAGTGTTCTGAACATAGCAAGTCAACTAAATAAGGAAGTTGTAATCCTTATCTTTGTTCTCTCCTTAGCCTTGTTTTACTTTAATAGCTAATAGTAACTGGTTTGAAACTTTTCTGTTTTTGTTTTTCCTGGCAAGGGTGATTGAGATGTTTAAGATAAGTAAATGAAAAGATAATTGCTGCTTGATAACAGGACAAAAGAAGCAAGAGATCAGCAGCAATTCATTTCTTTCCTCAGATAGCATAAATCATTGGTCAGGAAGCAAAGAAAACATTTGTTGAATAACAATACTGTGGGTACAATAATTTATTGTTACCGTGTCAGCAAAGCTTCATTACATTACAGGTCAGGGTAATAGCCATGTGATACTGTTTTTACCTTTTTGGAGGGAAAATAGAGACTGCCTAATAGCTAACATTTTATTAAGCAAGTCTATATTATTGTGTGTGATATTCAGTCACTTTTCTTTCTTTTTTTTTTTTTAAAGATTTATTTTATTTGTACATACAGAACTGGGGTATAGGCCAGAGGCTCAGGGGCAGTGAGAGTCTTCACCAGAGTCAGAGCGGGGAGCAGAACAGGCAGATCTACGAAGCACACTGCTGAGGGGAGCAGCGGGCGGGTCAGGAGAGGTCTGCCACGCCATGTGGTCACCTCCGGGGCAGGCGGGAATCGAACTCATGCGGAAGTGGCTTTAGCTTCTCAGTGCAGCACCTTAACCCGCTGCGCCACCAGAGAGGGCCTCACTTTTCTTTCTTTTTATAAAGCTCATTCTTATATTTCTATTTATTGTGTTAAAATATGCTAAATTTGCTGTTTTCAGTACAAACTATTAAGTTTGATAACATTTTAATTTCCTATTTTCAGTATTACTCTAGACCAAGGTTTATAAATACATACAGTTATTCAATGTATTAAACTTGGAAAATATGGGTATCTATAAAGATGATTAAATCACCTGTATTACTCTAATATGTCAGTGTATTTCTTTCAAGTCTTTTTTGCTATACTCTTTAAAATACTCTTTTTGCTTTAAACAGCATCAGAATCATACTATATAAAGTTTCATATTCTGTCTTCATTTAATATTCTTTCATGGCATTTTTCCAAATTTTTAACCAATATTTAAAATCAGTTTTAATGACTATAATATTTCATTATAAGTAACTTTACCTTACTATATTCAATCTTTTATTATTTATTGGTGGAAATATCGTTTCTCATTTTTTACTGTATAAACTTTCCCTATAATAACCTGATTTTTTTAGATTAGATTTTTTTTTCCCCTCTGGATATGTCCCTTAGAAGCAGAAAAGGTATGAATATTTTAGGAATTTGATATCTTTTGAAAAACTTGCATCTTGAAGGGTTACATTAATTTATATTACTGTTGACTGTATGTGAACATACCTATTTCCCCACATACTTGATAATAGAATATTCCCACTTAGTAAAAATCACTGATTTGGTTGACAGAAGATAATATTTTAAATTTTTAAGTAAATTTCTTATCCTGTGAAATGTCTTATAGTGTTCTTTACTTATTTTTTACTGTAATATAGTAATTTCTCATTAAATTTTTGGAATCAAATTCTTGATAGTTACAAAATAACCAGATTGAACTAATATACAGATGTGAACACTAAAATATGGAACAACAAAAAAGCCATTAAATTTAGTAAATTCTCAGTTCATTTCTTACCAGCAGAATGGAAAAAACTTAATTCAGTTATTTTGTTTATTATTACATAATCATAATCTGAAAATCTTGTGTTTTTAGATCCAGCAGATCTGCAAAATTTTGAATGCTCATATGGATTCTCTACAGTGGATTGAGGAAAATTCAGGTAGGAATTTAGCTGTAACATCAAGTCATCCAGTTTGAAAATGGAAAATGGGATACCAAATTTAATCTCAGTATACTTTATGTTAATTCAGCCAATAACTTCGTAAAAATTCTCCATAATAAAATGTACACCCCCTTTCCACAGATTAATATGGTTTCCTTTTTAAGCAATTTTATTTATTTGCCAGTCATAATGATAGAAGTTTGGGGGCAAGTCTTCACCCCTCTGTGTACATGCTTTACTTGCCCACACAGAAGTTTCAGTACCGATGCCCTATTTCCATCTCCTCCTTCTCCTCTGGTAATCAGGATAACTTTTTAACAGAGTCTAAGAAATAATTTTTTCTTTGCCACTTTAATTTCTTTGATTTTTTTTTTTTTATATTCCACATGAATGAAATCAGTCTGTAACTGTCTTTTACTTTCTGGATCATTTCACTTAGTATACTCACCTCAAATCTATCCATTTTGTCCCGAAAGGCACTATTTAATCTTTTGTAGTAACTGAGTAGTATTCCATTGAGTATATAGTCAGCAATTTCTTTATCCAGTGATCTATTAGTGGGCATTTAGAGTAGTTCCATGTCTTGGATATTGTGAATAATGCTGGTATATGAAGGTAGATGTGTGTAAGCTTTTTTGTGTTTTCATATTGAATAAATACCTAGCAGTGGTATTGTTAGATCATATGATATTTCCTTTGTTTTTAATATTTTTAAAATATTTATTTATGCATACAGAACTGGGGTACAAGCCAGAGGTGCAGGGGCAGTGAGAGGCTTCACCAGAGACAGAGTGGGGAGCAGAACAGGCAGATCGATGAAGTACACTGCTGAGGGGAGCAGCGGGTGGGTCAGGAGAGGTCTGCCACGCCACGTGGGTCATCTTCAGGGCAGGCAGGGATCGAACTCATGTGGAAGTGGCTTTAGCTTCTTAGTACAGTGCTTTAATCCCCTGCATCACCAGAGAGGGCCCTATATTTCCATTTTTATTTTATTGAGGAATCTCCATGTGGACCAGTGTTTCATTTTTTCTGTATCCTCTCCAGCATTTGTTGTTTAAGTCCTTTTGAAATAGGCCATTCTCACAGGGTGAAGTACTATATCATTGTGGTTTTGATTTCCATTTTCCTTGTAATAAGTGTGTCTCTCATGTGTCTGTAGGTCATCTGAATGTCTTCTGTGGAGGAGTGTCTGTTTAAGGAGGGGTGGGAGTTCTCCTACTGCTTACACTATAACCAGACCAGTGTTGCAGGGCTGATTGAGCTGTCCCAGAGCCAAGTCAAGATGTAGTATATGTTACGTGCCCTGTGGAGGTCCCCTGTGCCAGTCTGGGTGCAACAGAGCCTATGCCACCCCTAAGTCTATTTGTCTCCAGAAATGGCCCCCGCTATGTCCAAATCTTCCTACCCCTCTCCTAGGTCCAGAACCTTCGCAAATAACATAACACCCCTCTCAGGGAGAAAGATAGGCAGGTTAAACCAGTGATGTTAGCAGAAGTTAAAAGAAATTTTTAAAAAGTTTAACCTGAATCTAACCATCAAAATAGACATTCTGTGAGACTATCTGAAAGTAATGTAGCATTCTTACCAAAAATGTTTCACTGAATCAAGTCACAAAATAATCAGATATTCTATGTGTGAGACATTCTGAAAGATAATTGGCATGGGCTCTTCAAAAAGTCAATCATGGTAAACCAAAAACTTTGAAAAAAAAAAAATCAAGGAGACTCTCTTAAAGAACTGTAATCACATCTATCATGTTAAGTTTGATTGGAAGCTGGATTAAAACCAAGAAGATATTACTCAAAAGACAATTGCAGAAATTGGTTATGGAGTATATTGTCAGTGATACTAAGGAATTTTTGTTTCCTAGGTGTCTTATTATGGTTATGTAGGAAAGCATTTTTATTCTGAGAAGTTGTGTGCTCCATTATTTTGAGATTTTTCATATCTGTAATTTTTGTTCAAGGGGTTCAGGCAAAACCATTTGTGGGAAAGCAAGAGAGAACATTTTATGGCAAAATGGTAACAGTGAGTTTATCTAGGTTTAATTTACAAGTTTACAGTTTTTATAATTCTCTCAACTTTTCTATAGAACTTTTTAAATGGGAAAATGATTTTTATAGACTTTGCTTGAATATGAAATATAAAACCTTAGTAATTAAGACAAATGGAGGCTAACTAGCCAGAGTTAATTACTATTTTTAAAGATGAGTTATGAAAATAATTCAAATTTTGGTTTTTGGCATTCTAGAATCCTAATTCTGTGTATTAGTAGAAGTTGCCAACCATAAACTATCAATACTTTTGCTTCTTTCCCTTACAGATATAACTATACCATCAACCATGTTTACTTCCTTCTCTCCTATGTTAGAGAAGAAATGTTGTATTCCTTTTTAAACTGTGTTTTCAGCCATCAAAGGAAGGTTAAATTCTGTGCTTTTTGTGTTGTTTATTTCTTTTGTATTAGTTACCTAATGGGGAGCGTTTTCTGAGTCCAAGTGATATGAGTTCAAGTCAAGGCACTTAATAGTGTTGCCTCAATTGTTAATCTCCCTGAGTCTTTTTCCTTATTTTTTTTTTAAAGATTTATTTATTTATTCATACAGAACTGGGGTACAGGCCAGAGGCTCAGGGGCGG